GAGGATGAAGCATGCATCAGATAGCTTCGGTCTTTTGAAAATTACAAACAAGTATTGCAAATCTTTATTTGACGAAGTATCTAACTGAATAACTAAACTTTTTTGAACAATCATTTATTTTTCGAAAGAAAGTGCATCGTTCGATAGCATAAGAGCGTAGTATGTGCCAAGAAAAAATATACTGTATCTCTTTTTATGTGTATGGTATAGCAGAAGTTGTTAGAAACGATCGAGATCTTTTCCAAAAGATTATTAATTTTGCACCCATATTTAAGAAGTGCGAAGAAGTCTAGTTAGTCACGAATACACTATCTATGAGACCTACACGAAACAAATACTCGTCCTGCCTGATATTTTGTCGCTATCCATCCTGTCCCATTGTTCGGAGATCTGATTTCAGGAGCCAATTTTTTCTGACCTCTTTTGACTTTCGAAAAAGCGTTCTGCCTTGAATCTTCACAGAGTCTGTCCCGCAATTTTTTCTAATTCTCAATTATGTTTGACTTATATGGGACCTATCCACAAATGAAGGAAGAACGTTTCAAATCAGATGCAATCGACTCACTATTACAGTATATTTTTTTGAGCCATATAGCGTGACTAACTTAACGCAATCGATTTGTGTTGAGGTACTCATTCAAAGTCTTTTACGATTGACAGAAAATTCATGAATAAATGGTTGAATATTGTTGCCATGTACTCTCAACATATGAATACTAGCAGGTTATCTACGGATATTCATTTTGTTAACAAATGTTTTCAGAATATATTTTATTGAACATTACTCAAAGCCTATAGGCTATTTCGCACATTTTATTTTTGTCTAAAGAGTATCTGATTGTTTAGTTAATGTGAAAGAAAAGGAAAAAAAGATTTCCAGCTGCACTTTTAATGACACGGTCTCCACTTTTAACCGATATGTTTCAAAGAATTTGAGCACATTTATCAATAACTCTAGATTGCGACGAATAATACAGATGTTCTATTCAAAGATGCTTCGAAAAGTCTTTCAACAAATGTCTCAAAATAAACTGGTTGCATAGAATTAGGCTGCTATTAGTTCAAATACTTGTTGGAATAAAACTAATTTGAACTTATTCTAATCCTTATCAGCTGTAAGTCTCGACAAGTTTCTACACGCAATGTGCCAGAAAGTTATAAGCTTAAAAACTTTTGTACGACGACTTTGTGAGATGGAGACTAACGTTCACATGTCCCAATATTATCTGAAAACATTTCCGCTCTTCTGTGAAACTTCGTTACCTACTGGAAATCGATAAATTTCCTCGTTCCAAGAAAATCTCTAACATTATTTATTATTTCCATTCTGCAAATATTTAATAAACTTTTTTGTCATACTGGCACGCCAACGACTAAATAGTATATTTCTTGCATTTCTCAAAGATTTCACTCAATTTTCAGCTACAGACAGTAGAATTTTCAAAGAGATATCTGAACGAATTCTTTCATTTTCCGTATACAATGATTGGATCTACTGAGAAAGAAATATCATGAAAGAGGCAAAGATTTCATCCAGAGCCCTCCATCTTTTTAATCCATTGTGGATGCTCAATATTAGCAGAAATATCAGTATGCAAAATAATATCAGACACAACTATTAGAAACATAAGAAACAGCTTAGCTCTGCATTATTCGCTCGCCTTCGTGTCTCATGACGTACGAAGCATTCATTGACGTCAAAAGAAATGAGATGTCACAAGTTTCTTCATGCTAATCTTGTTTGAATAAAAATTTACTAAACATGATAAATATCTTCGAATGTTGGCCGGAGAAATAGTTACAAATCACGACCAACCAAGTATCATATTATTTTCAACTCAAATAATAATACTTTTGTGATTTAATCATGTCTATGAAAACATGATATATAATCAAATATGTAGTCCTGACAAAGTAAAAGAAAAATAGAGAGTAATCGGGATTCTGTCACAACGCTTTTAGTGTTCCAGTATTTATTCTTTTTCTGCTTTTGGTCTTGTTAGTTGCAATTAACTTTCTTGTGTGTGGATTGGTGTCGGGTGGATGTTCTGTTCAGTTACAGCAACACCCACACTGACACCCAAGTCTGTCGTTTTATGACCATCGGACAAAAGGGTGTGGGTATAGTTGTTTACTCGACACCCTGACCCACAGCCACAGCCATACCAATGCGGACAGCAACAACAAAACTCAAATTTGCACTTACCCATATCCACACTCACTCACATCCCAAAAGAAACTTGAAGTAGTACTGCAAACAAGTTAACATTGACAAAGAAACTCTCTAACAGAGAAATAAAAATCATAAAAAGATTGTATCAACCTTTTCTTTTTGTTTCATAGTTATTTATTCCAGACTAAAATGCACGAAAAAAGATTAAAACGAAAGGCTATTACATGAGGGTGTGGCGAGTGTAGGTGTGGGGTGTGGGTGTGGGGTGCGGGTGTGGGGTGTGGGTGTGGGATGTGGGTGTGGGTGTGAGTGTGGATGTGGGTGTGTGGATGTGGGTGTGGGGTGTGGGTGTGGGAGTGGGTGTGAGTGTGGATGTGGGTGTGGGTGTGGGTGAGCATCTCCCTACTCCGACCACACCCACACCCACACCAACACCCACCCACACCAACACCCACCCACACCCACACCCCCACCCTCACCCCCACCCCCACCCACACCCACACCCACCCATCTTATCAGAATTTTCTTAGCCTCAATTAGTTTTCCCTAACTAAAATATAAGACTGAACAACGTCCGTACTTGGATTTTAATCCTTTGATGCCGTTTATCTTCGCACCACTCATTTTCTGTAGAATACACGAATTTTTCACGAAGTTTCTTTGAATATTCATATTTCTGTGAGAATGACATGCATTTGGAGTAAATAGACGAGTCAAAATCAGAAAAACAATAATGTTTGATTATTTTTATACTTGTCATTTGTCTTGACGACGATATTTTGAGCTTCAAAAATATTATGTACATAATAATAGATTAGATTACGTTGCAATCTTGATCTCAAGCATCAAGTATTTTCTTGTTTATGAACATCGATAACAGATAGACCATAGAAAGTTATTTCCTTGTTCCAGTAGCCTAACAGAAACTCGATAGTCACAGTGAATATAGGCAGAATCCAAGAGGAAAACAATTGACTTTTATGACTTTAAAGTCATTTAGATCACGTAGATCACATGTAGATCACTTAGATCATTTAGATCATTTAAGTCATAAAGTCAGTTGTTTCCCCTTGATATGGACCTATATTGACTTTATTCAAAAATCTTCAGTCTTTAAGTATTGTTGGGCCATCCATGATCAGTTATCCACCATTATCAATACTTAATTTACCATCAACTATTTTTTGCTCTTTGAATCTTACAAAACTATGTATCTATGTAGATAGTTTAGATGATTGTCTTTATTTACTTGATGGTCATCTTAAACAATTAACTACATTCATTGTTCAAATAAATTATATCGGCAATAATTTATCGATTATTCATAATACTGTAAGTTTATAGTTTTATTTTAAAATTATTTTTTAACATAACGATTATTGTCTATTAGAACGTTGAATAGATCAATAATGTAATGCATCGTTTATTTTTTATATTAATAAAAATAGAATATAAAACTTGACTTTTTCATAATTAATTCCTATTCAATATAATTATTTAATCGAATAGTTAAATAATGTAGTAAAAACGATTCAAATTTTATCTAGGTATTTTTTTAATAAATAACGATCTTTGTTGAAAAAATTTTCGAGGTTTTTTACTATATACATTCTAATTGATATAGTGAGAGTTTAGAGAACGTACATCAATTGTTTTGCTTGTCATTACTGAAAAAGAATTATTAGTGTCAATCTCTATAGGATTTACATGTATAGCACGATATTAGGTGTTATTCATACCTTTGAGGACAGAATTGCCAAAGTGCCCGCCACGATCTGTGTAGCGGGAGAGATTTGATTTACTTTTCTCGTTATATCCTTTAATACTCCATTCAGCAATTAGTCATTAAGATAATGACGCTTGCTAATGGCATGTCAAAATGTCAGTGAAGGATGTCCAGATTTCTACGTGTATATACTTCAATACTCCTTTTAGATTATGTTTCATAAAATCTATACGTTCAGATTAAATATAAGAAAAACTTTAAATAGTTAAACATGAATACAAGTGTTTGGTCGACAATTTACATAAATATTTTCATAATTAGATGTAGTTTTTAAATATATGTTTGTATTTTCTAGGATGATCTATTTAATTTGAAAAGTTTTTCATTAACATGTTATAATATAACCAATGAATATGACAATCGAGTGATACCTTTATTTCATTGTATGAAAAATTTGGAAAAATTGACTTTATATATTCGTCTTGAAAATCGATCTACATTTGTTGATGATACTCATTTACATAAGAAAATTCTTATGCATATGTCACAACTTCATACATTTACTTTTTCTATTAGTACTATGATTGAATTTAATGATTCATTTCATCTTTTAGTTGATAATGATATACAACAAACTTTTACAAATATAGGTTATTATCAAACAACTTCTACTGTAAACTATTGTCGTGAATCCAAAGCAATATGTCATGTTTTCTCACTTCCATTCACATTTAATCGTCTTGAAATGATCACTAATAGATTTCCTACTATAATATTCCATCATGTTACTTACTTGCAGGTGTTTGATAAAGTTCAATTCAAACATAAATTCTTCAATCGAATTGCTAAAGCTTTTCCATTGTTGAAATATTTTACTATTTCCAGTAAATTGTTGTCATTAATAGATTTTAACAAATACGAATATGATTATATTCAATCATGTCCAATTATTCAATTTTCTCATCTTATTTCACTTAATATGATGGTTCAGAATCCTTATTATATTGAACAATTTTTACTTAATACAAAGACTCATCTACCTCGTTTGATCGAATTAAAACTATCTTATTCTCATCTGAAAAATGTTACAAAAAACTTTATAAGAGATGCAACACGACACAACAGTGGTAATATAAAACGATTAACCTTTTGTGACACATGTGATTTTCCAACAAAATTTTCTCACTATTTTCCTTTTTTGAATACTGTATCTTATATTACTAGTACTCGATAAAAATGATTGTAATAAAAATTCTTTGTTAATAATTACTCTATATATATAAAAGATAGTTCTTTTAAGTAAAATTGTTTCTATCATTTATTTTTATAATACAACAATTGATTGCTATTAATATCTAAAATTTCGTAATGAACTAACTTGTGAATGCTCCTCCTTCTTTTTTTTCAAAAAGACTCTTTTTGTTCTTCTTCATTTGTTGATGATCTTCTTTTCTTATTCTTGTTACGAAATTCAACTGTAGCAGAACTCGTCAAGATAGAATTGGAGAATTTTTTGATATAGTCACTTTTGCTCTATGGTCTCAGGTCAAAACCGCAGCCTACAACTATCGAATTCGTTTGAAACCTGTTTAAAGTTCATAAAAGACCAACATAGGATTGCTTTAGTCGTATCCTACCAGAATGCCGGTTATTCCAACGTTTTCCATCAGTTGGGCTTGACTGACGAAATCCTGTTCTACAATTCCATCAACTTCCAACAGGATCTATCTGGATTTTGACATATTCGACGAGTTTTCTGATAGAATCGAATAACTTCTCGTAGTATAGTTATCTTTCATGCATCCTCTTATCAATTATATATTTCTGTTGAAAACTCTGCTTCACCAGTAGGATTGAAGTAAAATTTTAGTCTAACACCAGAATTTGTATCTTTTATAGCAGCTCGATATCAGTATGTTTGAGCTCATATGAATAATTCCCATTTTAGTAGTTGAATGTATAGTGTTATGTTAAGTTGGTATTGTATCATAATATAAGAAATCCGTTATGCGAAGCACAGCAAGTAAAATGAAAACTGTTTAGCGAATAGTAGTTTAATATAGAATGAGCTTGCTATGAGACAAAAGTTGTAGCCAAAGAGTGTGTGTGTTGCTCTCTCATTTTATCTTTAACAGTTCTGTTTTTTTCTCTGAAAATAGATTAGTATGCTTCTCCAAAATTCAAGTAGAGACAAAAAAAAACCCTACTGATATAATCCGAAAATTCTATTCGAATTCTGCTGTTTTGATGCTAGACTTATATAGATATTGAGTAAATTTAATAACATACGTATTGATACGTCCAAGCAGAAAATTGTTCAATCTCGCTGGGAAGCACTTTGTCAGTACTATTTAGTATGTGGTATTGTTATATTTTGTACATGAAATGAGTAAATAAGGATTGGTTCAAAGTTTTCACGAATATCTTGTTTCGTCAACCGTCAGACTATAGATGTACATTTATTGTTGTTTTAAAAGGTTACTGTCTCACATTTTTTAGAATGTTTATATGCTTCGCATTTAAGTCATTGTTTTCTCCTCAGAATTCAGCCCTCTCTTATATTTAGATGCAATGCATGACATTGCGTTTATATTTCTTAAAACGCAAGATATTCTTACTTTTGAGCAAAACTATAAGTGTCCAGTCTTATTCCTAACTCACTTGTATGTCTTAGATACAATAGTACTCTTTCTTTCCTAGTCCTCTTTTTTCTCAAGTGACTGGCTACAAGCCAGTTAATAGGGGTTCTACTTGATTATATGCGAACTCTTTATCTTTATGATGTTAGTTGATTAAAGCTTCTTGTTTGGGTATTAAAAGATTTTTACACTTATATCCAAAATAAAATTTAGTAGTTAATAGACCTTATTTTAGTTGAAAAAATATCAAATCGTTTTTATCTATATCATGTCGATGATATTCTTGTTGAATTTGTTTTTTGAACAGTACATAGACATGAAGTAATAAAATAAACATGAATACAGATATTTTTTTATTGATTTTTCTATTAATTAACATCAGATTTTCAGATTCTCGATCATAAAGAAAAGGATATGGATGTGGAGTTAGATGTGACGTGTGAGTTTGCGTGTAAATTAAGTCATTAATAAAACCGATCAGACCAGACTGGACCGAACCGGTCAGTCGATCGGCATGAGTCATTGTTCATTTTTCTTGTCTTGGCAAGAGTCATATCAACCTTGCGATGAGTCAAAGCTATTTCAGAATCAAGAAAGATATTACTTACGGCTTTAGTGCCACTCGTAAAGTGCATTTGTGAAGCATGATTATCCATGAGTGCTGAAGTTGAGCGAGAAACAGCGGACTTGCAGACTTCTAGAGGCTTCAGAACTTTATGGAACTTCACAACCGTAGTCTCAGTCGTTTTCCCCTCGATTAAAGTACATGATGAGACAATTGCTTTAATCTTTTCGGTTTGCTTCGAAAATCGCTAGAAAGATGCTGATGCTCTTTTAGCCAAATGATAGAAATTGTGATGTCTGAACCGGCTTAACAAGTTTTCTGACATGCTGCCTTTTGGTTTCGTAATGGTCTGCCATTTAGATGATGAGATTTTCCCTTTGGGTTCCCAAAACAATTACAGTAGCTCCACCGTGTTTAATATTTTTATTCTGCACGGATTGCAGGGTGCGGGTGCAAGTGTGGGTATGGGAATACATAAATAGAAAAATGATACTCACCTGCATACTCACACTCACACCGTTAAAGTAGTGCACAAAATAGCCTTAATCAATGTGTGAACATGAGTGACAGAAGGAGCTGTAAATAATACATTATCTGATTCTTCAACTTTAATTAACGGGTGAATTCTTGAGAATTATATAAGAGACCAATACAGGATACTTTTTTGTACTCTGTCCTGTCTTTAAGCCAGATTAGGGTAGGAAAGAACGTCCTCAGGACATATAAACTGAGTTCCATTAAAGAATCGGTTCTTAATTTATAAAAGATTTTGTTCATGGTTACAATCAGTACTCATACTTGTTTATATGATTTCAATGTAATATTATCTATACACAAAAATAATCACAAAACTTACTAAACATAGATTGAAATTGTACAATTTATTATCAATTATAATCTAATTTGAAACTAATATTTTGTTTTCTCTAATTTCTTGAATTTTCTAAATCTTTGTTTCGATTGAAAGTAATTGATGAATATCAATCTTGCCGAGTAAAACTCAGATTATAGTCAAGTGAAACTTTTATCATTTTAACGTATTTTTGATAAAGATATAAAATTGTTAATTCAGTAGCTTGTCATTTAGCATAGATGCAACATATTATTAACATATTCATACAAAACAAAGATATTCGCCAATGAAAACAGCGATTCGTTTATGACTAAATACGATCGTTTAACTGATTCAAAGATTTTTCATTATTATTTAGCAGTAGTTCGTAATTCATGCTTTAACTTATTGCAAGTTGAATCACAATTAACAAAGTCATTTGCAATCATATAAAAATCGTTTCTAATTTTACCATGTGATGTTAGTAGAGTTCAACGAATTGGAATACTTGATTTAGTTTCTTTTTCAGTAAGATATTGAACAATAATCATATTAACAAAAGACAGATTAAATTCAACTAATGCTGCTCTTTCTATATTTGCTCAAACAAATATAATTTCAGTTAAATCAGTATTTTCTTACCGTAAATCTATAAAAAAACAATCAGCATACATATGGTATTAACTTTTGAAACAACTTAATTCATGAAGATTAATCAATCCTAATAACAAAAATTGAACCATGAAATAAAGTACCACCGATAAAATAAGAGTGTGGGTGTAGGTGAATTGAAGGTCTACCCATGTCATCAAAATCGCCTAAGCTTTGATGAATTATCGCGATTTTCATAAAAGTTAACGATTAATTGCGATTTCAACAAAAAAAAACAGTCGATTAAGCGTGATTTTTCTTAAAAATCGGCCAAAATCGACAGCTTGAATGATTATATCAAGATAAGATCTCACGATTAATCGCCCAAATAAGTCGCGATTACACATCTGTCAATATTACATTCTTTTAGAACCCTTTTCTAGAACAAAAAAAAAGATTACAAAATAATTAGATGTTTTATTTTTGAAATGCGAACGTTTATTTATTAGAAAAACAAAATCAAAGTAATGCTTGTAAAGATGATGAGAAATAACGTATCATGAAAATTTGTACATAAATTGATTATTTATCATGCTATTTAAATCAAATTGAAATAATCCAAGATTTAAAACAATTGAATATTTCAAATAAATTTAATTTATTTTTTGAAGATATTATTTATTTGTCACCAACAGGTAACATTTTTTTTTTTCTTTATCTTATGAACATAGTCAATAGTCACTCAATGAAATATTGACAAAGGTTTTTTTTTTTCTATGATAAAGTTAGTAGATTATATGAGATTTTAGAATATGAAAATCTATCTATTAGTTCTTCGATAGATAATATCTAAATAAGAGTTAGATAAAAGATTTTATTCATAATAGATCAATGCTATGAATAGATTTATTTATTGTCATAAAAAAGAAAATATTTAAAGGTAAATAAATCTATTATTGTTTGTATCAAAGAAAATTTTCGATAAGTTCTATCAAATAATTCTTTTTACTTGTTTTGAACTTTTTTTGACATTGAAAATTTAAAAACAAAAAATTTTTTGATAAAGAACGAGAAAGAAAAAGTATAGAAGTTAAAATCATAAGACTACTAGACTAGAAATAATAATTTGATCGAAGAATAAAATTATTTTAGATAATAATACATATAAATTAAAGTCAATTTTCGCATAGAAATAATCATTGTGAATCATCATGGATGTTTTGATGTTAGTTTAAAAAAAGAAAAGAAAGAAATAATAACATTGAAATTTAAATGAATAATAAAATAATAAGAAATTTATCTTTGTCACAAATCTCATTGACATAAAAGAATGTTTTTATAACAAATACAACATCACTATCCTGTTGATTATGATCGCAGTTGAAGAATTAAAGCAATTTTATTCAATGTAGTTGTACTAAAATAGAATGTTGAAAGTGATTAAAGAAAATAATTAATAATTCGAAAGAGAAACGCTTCGAGATAAACTAATATATGTTGATTATTGAAAACAAAATCAATTTTTCCTTAATAGTTCTATTCTACTATTGTGAGTTTGTCTTCAATCACTTTGATATTATTTTGAGAAGAAATTTTTAATTAATATG